CCACAACACACCTAGTAGGATGACTGAAATCTGGAACACCGACAAGGCCAAATGCTGGGGGGGATGTGGAGCAACAGGAACTCTCAGGCATTGCTGGTGGGAGTGCGAAATGTACAGCTGCTTAGGAAGATAGTTTGGTAGGTCCTTACAAAATTAAACATGCTCCCTTACCATACAATCCAGGACTCACACTCCTTGGTATTTGCTTCCAAAGAAATCACTGGCAAGAGGGGAAAATATTATCAGGATGGGTTTAGACCAGTTATTTCCAGCCCGTGTGCCACAAGAATTTTTAAAACATGCAATACCTGACTATTTAGTCAGGGGCACTGATCTCTTTTTGTTTAAATGGTCAAGTAAAATAATAACAACGCAACTATCGTTTTCCCATGTGAATGAATCAAAATCATAACTACTTGTTTTTTGTCAGAGCTGCAAAAAAACCACATTTTTTTGTGTGTGTTTCACAAAATTTTAGTAATTAGTTGATGTGTGCCAGGAGATGAAAAAGGTTGAAAATTGCTAGTTTAGACCAATTGGTATTGAACAACAGATGAAACCAGGACTCAATTAGCAAGGAAGAAGGAGAAATGGCCTTAGGCCACCAAAAGCATCTGACATATTATCATAGTGGTTTTGGCTCGGAAGGTTTTGGACCATCAGAGAAGGGTTTGAACCCCAGTTTCTCCACTTCATGGCTCTGTGGTCTTGCACAAATAACATGTCTGAGCCTCAGTGGTAACAGGGGTGACATTAGTATCTATCCCTTAGGTTTGTTGGAAGGATTAAATCAGGTATTGCATGTAGATGCTTGGTCTAGGGCCTAGCACATAGTAAATATTCTCAAGTGGCAGTGTTTACTGTATATTGAATTACATTGTCTCTTCAAATGTGTGAGGGTGGGACCCAACAAGGTGGACAGTTAAAACAATAAATAGAAGGGGTTCCCATGAATCATCTTGTCCTTTCAAAGGAGTCATGGATATAAGTGCACGCTTGAACACACACACTCATTCATGCATCAGACCTTCCGTGTGCACCGGGTAAATACTCTACCTGGTTACAGAGGGCAGGAACGCAGTGTCCTTGAGGAGTTCCCAAACCGCTCAGGATTGCCTTCAGGCTCCATGTGTCAGCAGTGCTTGCTTCAACGAAAAGAATGTGCTGATTAGCCGCACAGAGGGCAGCAGCAGCGCATCCAAGACCTGACTCAGCTTTCCAGCCGAGGCCGTGAGGGTCCAGGGCAGCCCCAGCCATTGCTGCCCAGGGTGACCCATGTGGGAACCTTTGTACCGCGGGCCCCAGCTTCTCAGAGCGGCACCTGGGCCCTTCTTCCCAACCCCCTTCCTTCTGCTTTGTCTCTCCTTCCACAGGTGGCAGGCCTGCATCGTGGTCTGCCGGCTCACACACCATTCCTGCTCCCACTTATTTTTTCAAAGGCACCCCCTCCCCAATAACTCTCTCGCACTTCTAACCCCATCTCGACACTCCCAAGGATCTAACTGATGCATTCTATTCTTTGCCTCATTTGATTCTCATTCTGAGCTCCCACCAGGCTGGGATCCAGGGAACATCTGCTGGTTCCAAACACCAGTACAGTTTCCAAGGGCAGGTTTCTGCCGAGTGAGGATGTTTTTGGAAGAGCATACCTGAGGCTCCAGAGATTGTCTCCACAGCAGGAGATTGGGAAGGAGCAGAGAGTTTAAGGATGCAAAGATCAGTTCTGGGAAAAGGCTCCTTCCCATTTCTGATTGCTACAAGGGACAGTTCCCCACTAGGCATGGCCCAGCTTCTCTCTGCCCCTGCACAGATGGTGGGGCTTCCCTTATGGAATAATTTTGGAAGAATAACTAGGGTGTGTGTGTGTGTGTGTGTGTGTGTGTGTGTGTGACTCAACTTCCCTTTGCTGCTCTTGGCTCAGGGGTCCTCCAAGTTCCTGTGGTGTGTTTGCTGCCATGGAGGAGAGTGCCATCCTAGGCCTGTGTGGCCCATGTCTTGGTGGGTCAGGGTAATGGAGACTGCTGGTGACCCCAACCCCCAGTTCCCTTGTTTCTAGAGTGACAGAAACTCTGACCATTGGCTGGGTAATCGTCCTCCAAGCTAATGACCACTTTCCCCACCTTCCCCCGCAGGTGTGGTCCTTACTGGCCACACCACTAAGTTCCAGCCAATGGGATGTGAGCAGAAGTGAAATGTATCATTTTAGCTTTCAGCTCCCAGACCGTCCCCTTCGTGGAAGAGAGGGAGCCCATGAATTCCTTCTTGCTGGATTGGCCGGGGACATTTTGCCTGAGCAGCTGGCATAGCGACCTGGAACCACAAGGTGGAAATGACAAGTGGGGGATGACAGGCTCTTAAGACAAAGCAGCCTGGGTTCCTGACGGCCTCCTTTGGCGCTGTCACAGAAAGAGGTAAGTGCCTACCTTGGTTAGGACCCTGGCGTGTTGGGCTTCCCTATGATGACATCTGAGCATATACCCAAACCCCGTGGTCGGCAAACTGTGGCTCGAGAGCCACCTGCGGCTCTTTGGCCCCTTGAGTGTGGCTCTCCCATAAAATACCACGGCCTGGGTGAATCTATTTTGAAGACGTGGCGTTAGAAGAAGTTTAAGTTTAAAAAAATTTGGCTCTCTTAAGAAATTTTGATCGTTGTACTGTTGATATTTGGCTGTTGGTGAATGAGTTTGCCAACCACGGCATAACCAAAACCTCCTGTTCTGGGGTTCAGCTAGCAGGCCCCCTTGCATCTCACACTACGCTGCAGCCTTCAACTTCAATCCTATGAGAAATAAGTGCAGTGTTGGGCCTCTGCCCGCTATTTCTTTGTTTTATTGCTAAAATTCCTCAGAATCCACGCCAGGTGGAAGAGTGTTATTAGGTAGAAGACACGTGTGCTTGGGGTTGATTAAAAACGCCACATGCATTTTTAAAGTCACACCTCAGGAATCGCTCTCAAGAGTAGGAGCCCGTAGGCAGGGATCATGCTGCTGCTGATTTCTAATCTCTTTGGAGCCGGTGCTCAGCCCAGAGCCGGGCACTGAGGAAGCGTTCAGGAAACGCTTGATGACAAGGCGGAAGCCTGAGAACAGGAAGGCCCCGGGCAGGCCTCCCAGAGATGCGAGGAAATGGAAACCTATGGATTTCTTTCTCTTTCTCCGAAATCAGAGCAGAAGTCTGTCTATGTCGCCCTCACCCTCCTCACTGGGGTCCGGCGCAGGGTGTCTGAGGGAGAGTGGAGCACCCCGCCTCCAGGCCAAGGCAAGCAGCAAGGGAGGCCCCACGAACACTGGAGAGAGTGGCAAAGCTTCAGGATGAGAGATGAGCCTGCCAGTCCCGGGGAGGCCCCCTGTGTGGCAGAGACTGGGCACCCGGCTGCGTGCAGACACCACAGCTGCTGGGAGATCCTGGACTTGGGAGCAGGGCAGGTGATGGGCTCAGGTTCTTACACTGGCTGCCCCCAGGGACATCCCGGAGGTGGGAAGCTGGGGCTGGAGCACCTCAAGAGGCAGGAGGAAGAGAGGTGGGGGCTACTGGGGCAGCTGCTCGTCCATTGTTTGATGAGACGAGGAGGTATGAGCTCCATGGGCAGTGGACCCCAGGGAAGGTCAATGGGCTCAAACATCACGAAAGCAGCACGACTTCCAGGGCAGTGGGGGGTGATGGGTGAGGCTCTGGGGGCCGGCACCGAGGGGCATGCTGCCCGCACCAGGGAACATGGGGTGCAGGAAGCCTGCATCTCCACGCCGGCCACACAGAGGGCATCGGCGCTCATGCAGCACTGCCGGCAGCAAAATAGACCTCGGTCGTTTTCTCTTAATCCCCTCCCTCGCTGCTCTGACTCTGAAGGAGCAGGCAGCACATGGGAGGCAGGGAAGGAAGCGGAGGAATGGGACAGAGCCTTCTGCAAGCCAGAGTCAGGCCCCAGCAGAGCCGTGGGCAGGAGCTTTGAGCTGGACAGGAGGTTGGACTGGTCCCTTATATTCAGAAAGTGAGGTACAATTGCCAACATGGGATCCGTCAGCACCATCTACAGGAAAGCTATGGGGTCTGCTGGGAGTTATCTCCAGGGGCAAAGACTGAGGGACCATCAGAGCGTTTGTGAAAGCAGGGAATGTGCCGCTGAGTTCGCCATGCCGAGGCCACCCGATGTGGCACCTTCTCTCCTAGGGGCCAGAGGAGGAGGGTGGCACCAGGAAGAAAGAGCCCACTGGAGCCGAGGCCAGGCCACCGCCGGACCTGCTCTGTGGAAGCATTCCCACGAGGATGGAAGTCTTCTCGCTGTGACACCGTGCGGGCCCTGAGCTCTGGAAGCCTGAGTGACCAGGAGCCCCCTCTCAAGGCGGCCTGCCCTCGCTGTGGACCTCATACTAGAAAGTTTTCCTAAACTCACTTGAAACATCTCCCTACTTTTGCATCTGGAGCCACACAGAACAAGCCCTCGCCCTCTGCACATTGGGATATGGAGAGCAAGTCTTCTCGGGAAAGGTACCCGGCCCAGGCCCCAGCCCCTCTCCGTCCCTACCACCGGAGGCAAAGCAGCAGTCTCTGGAGTCGGTGCAGGGTGATTGTGCTCTTTTTAACATTTATTTTGAGTATAAGGGTGTGAGTTGCCGTGACAGGTGGCTAACCATCCCCTCCCCTCCACGGTGGCCTGAGGGAGGTGCAGGAATGTCCCAACTGCAGGCTAGAAATCAGCACACAGTCCAGACCGGCTTCTTCCCCGGATCCGTCCAGAGCTGCTGGGTCAGGTGCCACTCATCCGGCAGCACTGAAGGACCAGAGGGCTGAGCAGGACCATGGGGCTCACGAGGCAGGCAGCCCCGGAGGGAACCCGGGGACCTGCAGAGGGGCCAGCCCAGCCTGGGAGTAAGGGAGGGGTGTGCTGAGGCTGGAGCGCCCCCTCCAGGCAGCCTTGGGGGGCGGAGTGGGTTTCCCAGGCCAGACAGGCAAGCCCTGCCTGCTCCATGGTACCCAAGTTTGTATGGGGCCTCTTGGGTCCTTCACTTGGCCACGTCAACAGACAGCATGGCCTTGATCGCGGGGAACCTGTCGCAGGAGAAGTCAGCGACCAGCTGCTTGGTGCCACTCCGGGTGGGCATGATCTCGAAACGTACCCGGGACCGCTCCTTGGGGCGCAGGGTCGGCACGCTGGTGGGAAAGGGCATGAGTCAGAGTTGATGGTGACATTCACAGACCGCAGGGCTGAACAGGCCTCTGTGGCCTTGAGTACTGCTCTGGTGGGGGCTGGACAGGGTCACTGCTACTTTAGTTTCTTCTCACTGCCACCTGGGTCCCGGGGCCCCTCCAGCCCTGAGACCCATCGGCAGGGGAGGTGGGGGTGCTCTGATCTCCCAAATATGCTAAGCCCTCAGGACCAGCTCCAAGCTCTGGTGACCTGGACTTGCCAGGAGTTTAGGTTTGGTGAACCCCAAGCCAAATGCAAATGTGTGTGCCTACGGGCAGATTCTCCAGTTCTGATGCTAGAGAACCTCTGTGGACCCTGCCTGGGACGCCCCTCCTCTGGCTCCTCCCATCACCCCACACGGGCCCCCAGGCCTGGGACTCACTCGATCTTGAGGCTGCCCAGCAGCAGGCCGCTCCCCTCCACCATCAGCACGCAGTTCTTCACCGGCTCGTCCAGTGGGTTGGAGAAAAGCATCTGCACGTTCACGGGCTTCCGCACGTGGGCCTGGTCCAGCAGCTGCAGGGAGAGAGGACGGGGAGTGAGTCACCTGCCACTCACTGACGGGCTAGGCAGGCAACTTGGTGATGGGGAAGATGTCACTGAGGACGAAGGCAGAGAGGACTGTCTGTTGAGTCCTCCTAAGTGCCAGCGACATCCATGCAGGGGTTTCTGGGAGATTGCTAGGACTCCCCCCCGCCTCCCCTCCTCGGCCCCTGAACCCCCATGCTACAGACAGGACACGCAGGCTTAGGGGAGAAGATGAGCGCACTTTAACCTCCCTGCCGGGTTCGCAGACCCCTTTTCCAGTTCACCCCAAGAAGGGCAACCCCCTCTTCCCAGGACGACAGCCTGGCTCCACTGTGGGTCGCTCTGAGGGTTGGGGGAAAGGCTTCATTCTGAACTTAATAACTGTCTTTCTTGAACCTCCACTCACTGGTTCTCTTCCTTCCCTTCCAGCCTGCCTAGGAGGCTGCAGCCGGCTCAGGTCAGCTCCCCTCTCATGGAGGGGGCCCCCACCACCTTTCATGACATCCCATCTAGCAATGCCCTTCCGGACTGGCCCCACAGGTCATGCTGTGGTCTGGACAGGGCTCCAACGTTGTATCGTCTTTGGTCAGAGAAGCCTGGGTTTCCCGTCAGAAAAGCAGCCTGGACCATCTGTGCGCTCCCAAAAGCTGCAAGCTGTGGCTCTGCCAGGGAGCAGACACAACTGGGCCTCAGCTGCCTCATCTGATGAAACTGGTCCTTCCTTCCTGCCCTCCCGTCTGGGCCTGGAGGGGCCAGATGAGATCATGGATGGGAAGAAGGCGTTTTGGAAATAGAAGCTAACTGCCAATCCATTCCAGGCAAGATAAGGGGTTTTACCAAATTATTATCTTTTCATATAGATCGCCCTCAAGAGTTTAAAAATCTGCGCCCTGCTCTCAGTGAGCTATGCATTGATTCCTTCAACAGAGACAAGAATTTCTTGATTCTCTGGAGGCCAAAGCAGAGGAGAGAATGTGCTGAGAGGAAATTCAGACAAAGATGCCCAAAGAAGAAAGAGCAGATGCCTTTTAACAAGATTCAATGAGAAAGCTCTCAATGGCACATTTCCGGCCTGATTTCCTTTCTAAAGCGTTTATGGGCTCTTTAAAGACTTGATATGGAAATCCCAAAGATATAGCACAAAAGTGTTGAATAAAAGATAACGCTATACGAAAGGATGAGGAGATTGAGTGAGGGAATATCATGGGGAAAACCTAACTTCATTTAAACATTGATCATGTGAAGGCAGAAAATTTTCATAACTGGACTGGCTGCTCCCCAGCCTCGCCTCCCAGCCTCTGGCACAGGAACCAGCGCTCAGCTGTCCGTCATGGGTACGGGGACCCTGCTGCTTCCCTTACAAGTGCCCTGGGAAGTAAGAGGGGCCTTCGCAAGCAGGGGACAAGCATGGACAGACGAGGAAAACTCTGTGGGTGGCGAAGAATGCAAGCCAGGAGCCCTCCCTGTGCGATGGAGAGGGGTGTTTCTGTTTCACAGATGCTGATTATCAGCTAAGATAATGATTATCGGCTGAGATAATGATTATTGGCAAGGTTAGAGTGCTGGGGGAGAGGATGGTATGTGAGGGGCCAGGAGCCGGGGGAGGTCCTTTTCTCATGAAGTTGGTGTCTGGGAGGAGACTCCCTCCAAGCAATTGCACAAATAAAGGGGTAACGTCAACCCTGGCAAATGCAGTGAAGCAAGAGGACGCAAGCTCTGAGGGAGTTTCACTAGAGGCCTGGCCTGATCTGGGAGGGAGGTGGGATGCCAGGAAAGTCTTCCCTGAGGAAAGGACACCCTGCAAGGGAAGTGTTTTATGACCCCCATGACACAGTTGGAGTAGGATGCCGGGATGAAGGGACTTCTTCAGGGTCGCTGCTGCTCAGTGGGGAGACCTGGATACAAGGTTACAGGCCCTGCTCGGCTTCCCCCACTAGTAACTGGCCACCCAGCCCCTGGCTCCTTAGTGCCTGAGGAGGGGGACCTCCCTGCTCATTCTGAAACACAGATCAGACCACCCAGGACAGGGAAAGGGGCCCCTGACCTCTGGCTGAGGTCAGGAACCCCCTCAGCTAGGGTGCAGCTCAGGTAGGAGTGGGACCAGGGCAGCCACGGTTATCCAGCTCTCAGAAATCTGTGGCTTGGGCGGCTGATGGCATTGTGATAGAACAGAAAAAGGCCTAACTGTTGAGACAGGTGCGGCAGATGGAAGATTGTGTCATCCACGAGACACAACCACAGAGGCCCTGCTGCCGCTGCTGCTGCTGCCGCTGCGGCTACAGACGTGCCCAGATGCTCTGAAAGGGCCCTGGGCTAGGTAGGAGTCCCGGTGCCTGAGGTCTAGCCCTGGGCTGGCAGTCACTGCCCCTTTCCTTCTCCTGCCAGGGCTTTGGTTTACTCTGTGGGAAATGGCAGCGTCTGGGAGCATGAGAATTGGCTCCTAAGAGTCTGCCCGGGGTAACTCCGGGGTCTGGAGAGTGAGTGGAGAGACGCAGGTGAGTTGTGCCCATGTCCGATCTGCTTCACAAATGTGTCTGAGACCGGGCTGGGGGCCCCCTCAGGCAGGACCTGCCCCTTGTGCCCTCTGGGTTCTGAGCCTGGCATGGCCCGGGACCCAGCAGGAGCTCAGGGCTGGGTGTGTGTGTGTGTGTGTGTGTGTGTGTGTGTGAGAGAGAGCTGAAGAGTCCCTCCAGCCTAGTACCCCCAGTGGGTCTAGAATGGGAACCAGGAAGCCACGGGGCCACGTGCCTCACCCCTCAGGGCAAGGATATTGGTCTGAGCGAGGTCTCCTGTTCCATTTGGCAGAGGCTGGACCCCAGGCCTTTGCCCCTTCTCCAGGGAAGGACCTTCCTGGTGGCCGGGGAGGGCTGTGGCTTTTGGGGTTGGCTGGTAGGGGAGGCACCCTTTCCCCACCCCTTACCTCCAGGGTCAGGGTGGGGTTGTCCAGGATGATGTCCCTCGCCACCACCACCTCGGCCTCATCAGCGGCCTGGCACACGGCTGTGGTCCGGATCATGTTGTCCGCCTTCAGGTACTTCTCGTACTGAGCGTAGGTGATCTTCACAGGATGCTGCACTTCTGGAAGGCCAAGCCAGGGGAGCAGAGTGAGCGGGAGGGGAATCTTCTTCGGAGCTGATGCCAGCCACGACAGTGGGAGCGGGCCAGGACTATCTGTAGCCCCGAGCTTGACCGAGCCCGTCCTGGGCCGGGCCCTGGAGGAAACTCCCCACCCTGTCCTGGGCAGGCTCCGGGCAGGGCTCAGGGCTCGGGCTGGCAGGGCAGATTCCCAGAATGATGGGCTGAAACTGCATCCACACCCAGAAAATGTCATGGGATCCAGTTTCTTTCCAAGGGGCAGGGGAAGAAGGAATGCTAACGTACTGTCTAGTGATGATAACAATAATGATGACAACACAGCAATGAGGAAGGGAAGCCAGGGATTGACCAACTGAGCACCTACAGCCTCCCAGCTTCTCTAATAGCCAGGGATTCTATTGTTACCACACCCAGACCTCCGCCCCACCGCCCCACCTCCCTACCGCCCCACCTCCCCACTGCCCCACTCTCCTTCACAGGGTCATGCTGGGTGGCCTCCCCACATCCCCCAGCCTCCCCCTGCTCCGGCAGCCACAGTGTCCTATATCCTCTGAGGTGAGACTTGGCCCTGTGTGGAGACAGCAGGCCCTGGCACCACTGGTCCTACCCTCTCAGACAGTGAATGCTGGGGCTCCCTTCTGAAAAGGGGGCCTAACAGGGTCACCCAGACAGTAGCGAAACGGCAGGCCTCCAAGAGCGCTCCATCTGCCTCCTCATCTCACGGCTGCCTCCTGTGAAGGATTTTCTGCTTCACAACTAGCTGCCCCCCGAGCCTGAGAGTGAGCGGCAGCCAGGCCGCTGCCTCTGGTGCGGGAGGTTTCTGCTAAAATTCTGCAGGAAGCCAGCTTGCCAGGCATGGGGAATGCTGCCCTCGGACAGGCGTGGCGTGCCGGGGTTCTCTGCAGACAGAATTCTTTCATGGCGGGCTGTGTCATTAGCCAGCCTTTATTAGTTTCTGCTGTGAAGCAAGTAGCCACCCCACCCTTGTTAATCTGCTTTGTAAGCCCCAACTTTTCATAACAGCCCGAGAGATTCTGCCAATGCGGGCACACCTGCATTCTGAGTCCTCCCCGCACCGGCTTTCTCTGCTCCACCTGCTCCCTTCCTGTCTGTGCTGCCGGGGAGCAAGGAGTCACTGCTCCTCCCAAACCCTCACACCCCCAGGAAACCACCACTCATCAGGCAGCCCACTCAGCTGGGCCAGGGTTCCAGACCACACAGCCAGCTGCCACCTTTCTAGGGTCAAACCTGCAAAGGGGCTCATGGTGGGGTAGGGTGGGGGTGGCAGCAGTATACACACATCATACATGATGAGGGTAGCACTGGATTTTAGCATCAGGAAACCTAGGACGGAGGCCCTGGAATTGTCACTTACTAACTATGACACTTCATGTCTTAAGCAAGTCACAATCTCTCTAAGCATCAGCTTTGGCCTCTGTGAAATGGGGGTATTGGAATCTATTATTTTTGAGAAGATCGAGCGAGGCAGTATACAAGGACGTGCTCTGCACACTGTGGGAAGCGGCCTAGACCGAAAGGCAGCAATTTTCAACTCAGGGCACACGCAAACTAATTAGTAAAATTCTGTAGCGCGCGCACACACACACACACACACACACACAATAGGTATTTTTTTTTTTTTGCCAACATACACACAAAAAAGGTGTAATTTTGATTCATCCACCCCAGATGGCTAATGTGTGTTGGCTGTAGTCATTTTTAAAAAAATTATTTGACAGTGTAAGGGAAAAGAGGTCAGTGCCCCTGACTAAATAGTCAGGTATTGCATGTTTTAAAAATTCCTGTGGCATACCAGGGTGCCGAGGCACACCGGTTGAAAATCACTGCTGTAAGGGATAATGCGGTATGTCTGTTATTTCCCCAGCCTCCATCCTCCTCCCTCGCCCAGGGCATAAAAGAATTTGGGTTGGCACCACCCTGACTTGCACTGTTCGCCACGACAGTAATTTCCCAAACCTCCAAACCCAAGGAGAGGTCGTGTGCTGCTCCTCCCTTAGACAGCTGAGCCGGTTCCCATTCGAACTCTCCAACCCCAGCCGAGCATCGGCGGCCTCGGACACACGGTGCCTCCCCACCTGCCGATGTGTTACCTTCCTCAGGGTCCAGAGTGATGGTGACCGAGTCCTTCCACACCTCGTGGACGAGCGTGCCGTTGTAGACGATGGTCCAGGCCGTCATGTTCACCGTCACCGTCTTCATGTCCCTTGTCAGGTTTTTGAGCGTCAGGGCCAGGTTGACTTCTTTGCCCACCGCCAAGATGCCCATGACCTTGAACACCCCGGAGATGCTGGGCTCCCGTTCGTCTCTTTCGACGTCTGTGGCAGACGTTGGGCCGAATGTTCTACTGGGTTTCAGTTTCCCCACGGCCTTCTCAAACACTTGCCTTTCCTGGCTTGAACCTGTGTAGAGGGGAAGAGAGAAGCATCTCAGGGATACGGTGGCCACCCAGGCAAAGGAGAGCGCCCTGCTCGGGAAGGTGGCCTGGGACTAACACTGGTTCTGCTGCCACACAAGGATCCTGATCCAAGCAAGCGGCCGGCCTCTCCAGGTCTCCAGTCGCCCTCCTTAATGTGAGGCTCACATTAAGGGTCTATGGTATTTTCTATCAGCTCTAAGTTTCTGGGGAATGGCAGAGGAAGCTCTATCAGCAACTGTTCGAGATTACTATATGACTTGATATTTTGTGTAGGTCAATGAAGCTAGATTTATGTATTCATACTTTGGATAGAAAGTCCCTTGTAAGACTCAAAGAACAAACAGATAATTTGAGAAGAAATAAAAATTGAGCGGCCAGTGAGGCTCAGTGACTGCACATCGATCTATGAACCAGGAGGTCACGGTTCCGTTCCTAGTCTGGCACATACCCAGATTTTGGGCTTGATCCCCAGTGGGGGGTGTGCAGGAGGCCACCGATCAATGGATTCTCATCACAGATGTTTCTATTTCTCCCTCCCTCTCCCTTCCTCTCTGAAGTCAATAATATATATATATATATATATATATATATATATATATATAATTTTAAAACTGAGTTGAAAAGGTTAGAATGAGTTCTTAAGCAGGAAAAAAGGTTATGATTTAGAATCTATTTTCAACCACTAAACCATGTTGTTCTGCTTTGTTTCTGAGGGTGCTTTATGAGTGGAACAGTGGATCTTTTGTCCATGTCGGTTGACAAGAATTTCCCATGGTTGGTATGGTTCCAACCCCAACAACATATCAGTGACCTTTGATACACGGTGCTTACAACCTGCAGGATGAGTTACCTTCCTCAGGGTCTGGTTGTTGAGAGAGTTCAAGTTTCAAAAACACGAAGGACAGGTTTTCTGACTCTACATCCAATCGTGGGTCCTGCTGAATGTGACGCTACAGGTGGCCCCAGGGGAATGGCCATGAAATTCAAGAGCTGAATAACTGGCTCTACGCATCTGAGCCAGTATTGATCACTCAGCTGGCATTAGGCTTCCTGCCTTGACCTGAAGACAGGCGCACTAACAGTGAGAAGGTGTTGACCTTGCAGGAACATGAAACACGAACAGAGGTCCACACGGAATTACCATGTTTGTATCTGCAGGCCATACCCATGGTCCCACCTTCCCCAACCAAACTTGTGAAATGTTTAAGATGCCAAAATGACTTGTTATAAGTGTTTTTACAACTTAGCAAGGCCTTTCCCATCAGTTACAGGTAAGTGGCTGGGACCTCAGAGGTCCACTTGTTTAAGCCCATCACATTAGAATAAAGGCTCTAAGCGGGGAAGAGAGAGTCTAATCTGGGGATTAGAGGCAGAGAGAGGGCCAGTCCTCAGGACCCATGGTCCTAGGTCCCTCCCATACACCCTGCTGAACAGGAGGCAGGTGGCCAGGTTACTCAAGCTGGTAGCTCCTGGCGGGCTGGATCCCTTTCCGTGCTTTCCCATTCTCTAGCCAAGCTGGACATCCACCTCCAGGGCTGATGTCTATGCAGGGAGCTGAGCCATCTGCGTCCAGGACCTTGAAGCAGGCATGTTTGTACGAGGCTCAGAGCCTAGATACCTATATAGGTCACCTACTGTGCTTACTCAAGACTCAGCTTCCTGCTACTGTTTTCGCCCTCGTGTTGCTATTGTGCAAATGCTTAGCAACCCATTTTATGAGCTTTTCCTCCCCGGGGCCCTCAGAGACAAACTGGCATCATTAAATAAGGAGACCCGGGCAACAACAGGCAGGTGATGAGCCCTGCTGTCACGAAGAGGCTGGGGCCTTGCCAGGAGCCCTGCAGGGATTCCCCCAACCTAGCTACCACCTGGCCCCGTTCCATTGTTTAAGTTTGACTGGGACCGCCAGAGCCCCAACATGTGACAGTAAAATAAGGCACCCCACAGAATCATATATCCAAGTGTAGTGCACTTCAGCAGTGCCCTTGGGAGGTTGTTATTCCAATGAGGCTGCAGACATTCACACTTAATAAAATCACCACTCTGTGGCAGGCACTGCGCTTGGCACTTTATGGGCACAAGCTCATTGGTACTGATGACAAGCATTGCTACTCATTTCACAAGTGAGGGAGGGAGGGAGGGATGAGGGATCCTAAGAACCCTGCACAGTTCTAAGTAGCAGGGCTGGGTTCAATTCCTGACCTGGGTGACTTGTTCCCTGGCCTCTACACTGGTTTTGACACCATGACATCGCTGAAAATGCTCGCCCTGCGCCCGCCTTCGCCTGCCTGTGAAGCTCTCCAAGGGCAGGGGCCCCTGTGAGTGATCTCTGTTGCCTCCCTAAGAGCTGACAGAGAGCAGGCGCTTGGGGACGTCTCAGTCCATGTTTATTGGCTGAGAGAAGGGCTATCTGACCCCAACAGTGGGAATGGCCAGCAGAGACAGATGGGGCCAAATTGAGGCCACTGATCTCATTGCCTTACAGTTGTGCCTCAAAGTGTCTACAAATATTACTACCCAGAAGGGTCATCTACTTGACCTTGGAGTCAGACCCCATGTCCTGTGCTCAGCTTTCCTCCTGTGTAAACCGAAGCCGTCACCCACAGTCAGCAGTGGCCCAGAGTTTTCAGGTTTACTTCGGGGTGCATGGTGGGCACCTTTACGACATCCTTTCTTAATCCTCAGAACCAACTGTGAGGATCCACTGAAGCAGCTATTTCAAAGCATTTGCTGACCCCACTGAGGAGGGGCTGTGGCAGCTAGAGCAAGCACTGATGTACTCTAGGCTATTTCTGGAAATGAATATCACCTTCAAATGTAGAACTTTTGTCACTATTGAGACTCCTCAAAGAGATAGGCTGTTGACTCCGATAGCAATTTCCAAAATAGAACAACAAATGCCATTTGAGTTAAGGGTGGCCTCACAACAACTAGTCTTCCTGGTGACTTGGGCAAGGGGGGCGGGGGCGGCAGCAAGCATGTAAATCTGATTTCAGGGACCCAGGCATTCACCTCACTTCCTCTAGCTTCTTGGGAGTTGGAAGTGTATACAGCACAGCCCATGTCTTTGGGGCCAGGTCTTTGTCCATTTCTTTGTTCAGATCACGCTTCCTGCCTGTGTTACCCTGTTTCCCCGAAAATAAGACAGTGTCTTATATTAAGTTTTTCTCCCAAAGTTGCGTTAGGTCTTATTTTCAGGGGATGTCTTATCTTTCCATGCGCTAGGTCTTATTTTCGGAGGATGTCTTATTTTCAGGGAAACACGGTACTTGGAGGCTAGGGGAATGGGAGGATTGGCCAATGCCTCCTAAAGCACTTGGGGTCTCCCATGGGGCCAGGTTTCCCCTGTGTGCTCAGTCACAGGGCCGTCACCCCATTTGTGCCACTGGCAGTAGGACACAGCTGGAGACGAGCCAGAGTGAGAGCTGCCTGTGCCCCATGGCTAACGTCTGCTGGCGCCAGTCTGCCCTTGCTGGAAGCAGGCCGGGAACTGGGTGTTAGGTGCCAGGGAGCAGTCCTACCATTCAGGCAGAACTGGCTGGGACGGAGGGAGGAGCATGTGGATTTTACCTTCCCCACCCTAACGCTGTCTTCCCCCCAGCAGGCTCCCCGTGTGGCGCAGCCCGCCAGCGCCCCTCCTACCTTCTGGGAACTTGTACTTCTCGGTGACGTCCATGCGGGAGTAGCTGCCCACCGCCTTCGTGCTGATGTACCTGCCGATGGTGTTGGTGTCCGAGGAATTCTTCTTCTGGGAGTTGCGGCGGGCGTCGTAGATCCAGGTGATGCGGTCGGCGTTCACCTCCGCAAAGATGAAGGGCATGTCGAAGTCCAGGTTCACGTCGCCCTCTCGGATAGCCGCCACCGAGGCGGGGCCGCACTGGAACACCCCTAGGGGCCAGGGTGCAGAGGTTGGTGCGTGCCAAAGCCAGGCCCGTCTGCAACAGCCTACCCGGGACCTGTGCCGCTGGAGACCATCCGTAATCACTCAAGTCTCCTGCCCCTACCCTGCCAAACCCCTGTAGCCCCCTCATTGGCACTCACCACAGACCATCATTATCTCCTGCAGTGGCACCCTGGTCAGACGCCACCTCTTTGGGAGACTAACCCAGGCCTGAATGCTGTGGGTGCATAACTCATGCTGACCCACTGCCCCAGGGTCATCCTGGCTTGCGCTGAGGGTGGCCTCTTCTCTTCATTTGCAAATTGTTCTTCCCAAATCATCACACCTCTGTTCCTGGAAGACTTATCCGAACACCCAGCCCACAGGAGTGTCTTGCTCCTCTGAGCTCTCAAGCCCTGACAGTCACCTCCCATCTCTAGCACTCTGCATAGGTAGCACTGATAGATAGGTAGATAGATAGAGATAAAGAGATAGATAGATGGATAAGTAAGTAGACAAATAGATAATAGATAGATGAATAGATAGATAAGTAGACAAATAGATAATAGATAGATGGGTGAATATAAATTAGATCTAGATATATAGGTATAGATATAGATATAGGTATAGATATAGTTTCATTCATGAAGTGCCCAGCTGGAAAAAAAGGTGCAGCAGAATAGAAAGAAGAGTATTATCCAATTTGTATTTATAAAACAAATGAACAAAAAAAGTACACACACACTTTTATGTGCCTAGAACAGTCACGCGAACAGTTTTTGTTTTTTTAAACCATGACCTCTAGAAATAGATTTTACATCTTGCATATATAGGAGCCCGAAACAGAAGTTTCACAAGACAGTGCTTACTCTTACTATGTCCAATGCATTTGGCTATTTTTTTTTCCTTCCCCCCACCCTTTTCCATGCCATCTTATTTAATTTCTTAAGTTGATGGTCACATTATTATTTTGTTGTTAATCCTCACCTGAAGATATTTTTTTCCATTAATTTTTAGAGAGTGGAAGGGAGGGATGTGGGTGGGGAGAGAGAGAGAGAGAGAGAGAGAAAGAGAGAGAGAGAGAGAGAGAGAGAGAGAGAGAGAGAGAGAGAGAGAGAGAGAGATGTGAGAAAGACACATCGGTAAGTTGCCTCCTGCATGTGCCCTGCCTGGGGCTGGGGATTAAACTCTCTGCAATCCAGGCACATGCCTTTGATTGGGAATTGAACCCAAGCCTTCAGTGCTTGGGCCTATGCTCTAACCACTTAGCACACTGACCAGGGCCGACTAACTTGATTTTATAATCACTAATGGGTTGCAGTGAAAAAGTTTGAAAAACAGAGGTTCAAAACATATCTGGAGAATTATTATCCTATCCCCAACCCTTCCTCTCCCTCCCAAATCTGGTCACATTTGTTACTCCTGATAGAGAGGCTGCATTAGGGGACTTAAATGTTCATTGCATGGTTTGAAAAAAATTTTAAGTATGCGCACATATCACTTGTATAATTTTTTTTTTAAGTTTGAAAGAAATAACGAAAAATGAAGGTAATAAACAATCCCGTGCTAGGAGGAGCAGGCTACTAGAGGAAAATCACTGTTGGCAGAGATGGTTTCTTTTCCTGTTGCCTGGCACATGCAGCAGTGATGGCAGCCATATAGGCACAGGGAAGGTACTCAGTTAACTAGCAGCTGGAGCCAAGCAAAATTAGAAGGAAAATTATTTGGAAATGCATCGTCTTAATCCCTTTGTGACTTCCAGAGATGGAGAGGACTCAGGTGGCTTTCCTGTGCCACTGTCCACTTCTGTAAGGATCTGAGAGGCTGTGACTTAGAACCAAACCCAGATCAGAGGCCATCAGTGCACCAGCAGGGGGTTACCTTGACTCCTCTCCTGGGGAGTGGCGTCCAGAACCTGCCATCCATTGTACGAGGGGCCCAGGTCATTCCGCACAAACCAGGCTTCATTCCAGACGTGGAAATTCCTGCAGACAGAAACACAGACTGAAGAGCTTGCCCAAGGCCACACAGCTGGTGAATGACAAGACCATATCTCTGATCTGACAGTGCAGAGCACTGATACTGGTCAAATGAGTTTAAGCATAATCCATGTCAGCTATTGTGCTAAACCTTAGTGAGCATTGTCTCACTAAAATTCTCACAGCACTTCCTGAAGACATGTTCATTGATGAGAGAGAGAGAGATATCGATGTGGTAGAGAAACATCAATTGGTTGCCTTCTGACTGGGATTGAACCCACAACCTAGGTATATGCCCTGACTGGGAATCAAACTTACAATTTTACAATTTTTTGGTCTATGGTATGATGCTCCAGCCAACTGAGCCACCTGGCCAGGGCTGAAATGGGAACCATTTCTATGCCCAACTCATAAAAGGGGAAACTGGGCTCAGAGAAGTTAGCAGCTAACAATGACAGAATTAGTGTGGACCCATGTGTGCCTAACTCCAAAATCTAGGTCCTTGAGCACCATGTTCTACTGCCCTTCTGAGGAGCAAAATAGAACTAGGTTAGAGCCAGTGAACCAGCTGGTAAACCCATACAGTTTACTCTTGTGTGCCCTATACTAATCAGGAGTGACTATGCAAATTAACACAACAAAATGGTGGGTTAATTTGCATATGCAGACATGGAGCGAATACTGAAGGCTCCACTGCGAATGGGTCCTGGGTACCAGAGGAAAACTGGTACCAGCAGCCAGGGGAAGGAAGGCCTATTGCACAAATCTTCATGCAACGAGCCTCTACTACTTAGATAATCTAGCTGTTGGAATTATTGGACAAGGACTTTAAAGCAGCTATTATAACTATGCTCAGTGAAATAAAGGAAAGTACGTTCATAACAGATAAAAAGAGGCATTCTTAGCAGAAAAATAGAAACTGTATGCTAAAAAAAAAAAAAGGAGCCTAATGGAAAATTAAAACTGGAAAGAAGACCAATATCTGAAATTAAATAATTCCATGGATGGGCCTATTAGCAGAATAGAAATGACAGCAGGAAGAGTCAGTAAACCTGAAGATAGGTCAGTAGAAATTACTCAAACTATGGGGGGGAAATCAACAAAGTGGGGAAAATACATTCAACATATATGGTAGACAGAAATTTATTATAATTAATATTATAAAGTACCTAAAATCAATAAGAAAAATACACAAAGTAAAAAGTCAAACACACCAATAATGGCCAACGAGTAGGCAATTTTCACAAGAAATACCAGTGATCACTCAACATGTGAAAATAGTTTAACCTCACTACCATTAAAAGAAAATTAAAATGACAAAGAGATACCATTACCCTTGTTAGACTAACAAAATGAAAGCATAGGATGAGGATATTGTTCTGTGATACTCATTCCAGGTATGGGAGCGCCAGCACTGTCGTGCGCCATGAGAGTTTAAACTCATCTAACATTTGTGAAGGGCAAGTTGGAAATGAAGATCAAAAACCTTTAAAAATATGCAGATGCAATGAGCCAGTAATTCCACTTCCAATAATTTCTCTTATTAGAAAACTCTCATGAGTGCACCTAGATGCATATGGAAAGATGTTCACTGAAGCATTGTTTGTAATAGCAAAATTAATGGAGGAAAAGTTCATCAGTAAGGGAATGCTCAGATAAATTGTGGCACAGCCATGCAGCCAAATATCACAGAGCTGTGCAGAAGAATGAGCAAGATCAATCTAGCACATACAGGAAAAGATGTCTAAAATATATCCTCAAGGAAGAAAAGCAAATTACAAAATATATAGGTGACAATGTGTAAGTTTATAAAAATATATACAAATACCATGAACATTTTTGGATTTAGAAAATTATACATTAAAAAAATCAGTTTTAACCTCTCTACCATTAATTCTATTATTTTAAATAGCCACAGTTTAGATAATAGTTTAGTGTATATATGTGCTTATGAACAGATTTGGGTGCACATTAAACTAAGTTTTCCATTATTTATTTTTGTAATGTTTTCAGTTTCTATTACTTTTGTAATACTATAATTACAAAATAAATGATTAATTAATTAATACTATAATTACAAAATAAATGAATATTAGTATGTATATTATATAAACACTAATAGCTAACATATTATCTGTCAACTTAGAAAGTTATATGTGTTCTAACTTCCCTATATGCTAACTCATTTAATCTTCACAACGTTCTTGTAAGGTAGGAATTATTATCTCTGTTCCACAATTCTGAAAACAGAGGCACAGAGTGGTTAAGTGACTTGTTTAAGGTCTCCCAGCGAGTAAAGAGGGAGAGTGGGATTTAAATCCAGGCAGAAGGGCTGCAGTGCCTTTGCTTTTAACTACCACACTACACTACCTCTAAGGTTTTACTTATTCCTTTTTATTGAATTTATTAGGGTGACAGTGGTTAACAAAATGATACAGGTTTCAGGTGCACAATTCCACAACCCATCATCTGTCCACTGTATTGTCCATTCACCACCTCAAGTTAAGTCTCTGTCCATCACCCCATAAATTCTCCTATCTCTCCCCCTTGCAAACACCACACTATTGTTTGTGTCCATGAATTTTTCTTTTCTTTTTTTTTTCCTTTTTTACTCAATCCCTCCACTCCCAGCACCTCAGCCCCCCTAAATTTTAATTTATTAACATAGAAAAATCTAAAAAACAATAAAACAGACCACTCAACTTGATCCTACTTGGGGAATTAAAACGCAACACACACACTAGTCCATCTAATGTGTGTGGATCTAAACAGAATGAAATGTCTAAAGGATCTATCTCTAATGTCATTAGTATTTTTCTTTGGGTAGTTATATTACTAATGACTCTTCTTACTTATTATTTTTTTAAAATTTTATCATCAGGGAAAAATTGTTTTCCTTTTGGGTGTTGTGAGAGGCTTCCCATGGGAACCAGAGGATACAGTACTGGAGGGTGCTCTGCCCTGCAAGCTGTCAGGAGTCAGAAGTGCTCCAGGCACAGCATGGCCCTGCTGTATCTGTGCGGGAACTGGGATCCAAAGAGTCAGCGCCAAAACAGGGCCGAGAGGGAGAAGGCCATCAGAGGGAGCCAACAGCTCAGTACAGATACCACCAACCAATGATATGATGGGAGGAAGGAATACCCTTACTCACTACAATAATGAAGCATACCTTATTACAGTCTTTTTGGGAGGCAATAGCCACAGAGATCAGAAGCCTTTAAAATGTTTATTTTCTTTAACCCAGGATATGCCATTTATTTCCTTTAACCCAGGATATACCATTTCTAGAAATTGCCCTATGAGACTAAAAACAGACATGCTCAAGATTGACATATAAGAATGCTCACTACAGGTGTTATATATATGAGGAAGTAAAGGGAAATAGGTAACAGAGATTGGAAAATAAGTAACAATAGGAAAAGAGATATGGTTCAACCACTTGATGGAAGACGATACATTTAAATCCTATTTTTCGAAGATAATTTAATGACAGAGGGAGCATGCTGATAATGTTTAGTTAAAAAAATGATTTAAAACACTGTGACATGGATGATTTCCATGAGTGGGGAAAAAGGAGGATGTATGTGTCATATGCTCTGCCTTGTATCCATGCCGTGTCAAATGTGCAGTCCAAATTTTATAAATAACAAATAAAGAAAATATTGGGTAGGAAATGCTCAAATATTAAAAGTATGTTAAAATCAGATTACAGATGATATATTCTGCAATTTCTATAATTGTAAAAAAAAAATCATAAAAATGATCTCTTGGAAGACCCACAAAATGTCTTTTTGATCAGTTAGAATTTACCCAGGAGAGAGCAGGAGTGTGGGAAGATGACCCTAGATGGATAAAAGAGGCGAGAGAGGGATGAAAAAGCGGTAACAGCACCAAGTTTCATATTTGTTTTCTTCCTGGTAGAGAACCCTAAGGGGAGGGTGGGTTGGTTTTAATACTTATTTGCAAGGCAGGAATTTGATAAAGAGCAGATAATAAACAATTCCTGGTTCCTCCCTCCTTCGGAAGCCAGCACTCTACTCCCATTTCTTTGGGATTCAAAGGGCCCGAGGGCGCCACCATGGAAATTCTGTTTTGTTTCTCAGTGTGCCACACTGCCAGCTTCTGCCCCTGTCTGGAGGGTTTAGCAGCAGGGGCTCAGGAAAAGAACATTCTCTAGGCACTTACTGAAAAATGCATTCCTGTCCATCAGCTCTAATGAGATCTTTGAAGTTTATAAACCAGTGCCCTAGAGATAGCAGCTCAGTTATGCTGATCTTTGAATTTACGGGGTTAGAAGACCCGGTCTAGAGAGTGACCCAATCCCTTACCCTTTCCACGGGTAAGCTCTTATTTGTCCTTCCAAATGTAGTTAAGATTCTACTTCTTCCAAAGACTTTTCCAGACATGCCTAGAGAGTGCCAACCATCCCTTGTGCTATCTCTGAATCTTGCACATTTGACTTCTTTTACTACAAAATTGCCCCTCTTCTCACGAAGCCATGAACTTCTCCAGTGTTATTCCTGTATCTCAATGCTGTTGGTATCCAGGTGCTCAGTACAGGGTCTGATATACGGTATGTACTTATTATGTTTTCTGAATTGAATTACTCTGGGGCCTTGGTTTCCTTACCAGGAATCTGAGCAAGGTGCTGTAGGAACATTTGGGGCTGGCTAAATAGTAGTGGAGACTAATAGCCATGGAGAGATTGCATTGGGAGCCATGGACTCTGCGGATGGGCGAAGTGCCAACAGCTTTTCTCCAGAACTGGCTGACTCCACCTCCCTGGTGACAGGGCAGGGCAGTCCCATGTGCCTTTCACTCGTGCCTCTATGAAGTCTACAAGTAGAGTCAAGTCTGTGACTCCAGAAATTGAGGAATCAAGTAAGATGCATTGAGAAAACAAGTCTGAAATGTCAAGATAAAGATAACCTTGGCTGCTATAACTGGTTTGGCTCAGTGGATAGAGCATTGGCTTGTGGACTGAAGGGTCCCAGGTTTGATTCTGATCAAGGGCATGTACCTAGATTGTGGGCACATTCTCTGTAAGGGGTGTGCAGGAGGCAGCTGATAGATGTTTCTCTCTCATTGATGTTTCTAACTTTCTATCCCTCTCCCTTCCTCTCTGTAAAAATCAATAAATATATTTAAAAAAAAGAAGAAGAAGAAAAGATAAACTTGGCTAAACTGTTCCATATCATTTGGTTATGGAGCAGGTCCCAGAGACCTCCTGTACAGGGGTTCAGAAAGGAGCCCCCCCCAAAAAAGAAGCATCCCAGACATAACTCTATACAAAGCGTCCTTTCTCTTAAGACATGATCACTCCAGCAGAACCTTGTACCTCTTAAGCCAAATCGTTGTTATGTGTGGAATGGCTTAGAAGAATGTAATTTAAAGGAAGAGCTGAAAGAAATTGCTGAGGTCCCCTAATCTAGCCCTTCAGTTTACAGATGGGAGATGAAGAGTTAAGGAACTGATGTGGGTCATATCCTAACATAGGGTGCCTACATGTCTCCGGCTGGTTAGCCTTACTTCTCTCAGGGCCTTTGTTTTCTCATTTATGGAATAAGCAGGTCTCTTCCTCAGGCCCCTTTCAGCCCCAACATCCTTTCACTCGGGAGAGTCCTGTTGACAGAGCTTGGACACTAATTCACAGTTTAATTTCCCTTCACTGACCCCCAAGATAGGGTTTAGTCTTACAGAGAAGTGGCATTTGCTGCCTAAGTGTGAACCCAGGAACCCAGTGTCTCCATTGGAATGGGTTGGAGAGCACCTACTCAGAACCCTGGTTGGTGTCTAACCAACCCCTCAGAAAAACCTCAATTAAGCTGTCAGATTTCTCAAACATCAGTCAGGAGTCATCATAAAAATATTCTCTGGCATCTCTCCGGTGCTTAACGAGTTTACAAAGTCGCCTTGGTTGGAAGCCCAGCTTCACCATTTCCTAGTCCCATGCCCTTGGGTGAATGACAGATGTCTTGGTTTCCTCAATTATACAATGGGGATGGCAGTGCCCACCTCATCATTTCTGAAGAGAAAAGGTAAGCACTTAGAAAAGTCCCTGGCCACACAACAGTTGCTCAATGAACTATTAGCTGTGGCTGCTCTTATTATGAAGCAATTTCAGATACTTAACCTCACTTGATTCTTACCTTCTAATACTTGAGGGAAATCTGGACAACGTCTAAAAGCTTTCAACATTTGCAACGTAGAAGATTCAGATCAAAGGTTTTCTGTCCAAACCCAAACTGACCTTGTAATAATAGGTTAGTCATGTCACTTCAGTCAGGAAAGGACTGGTGGTTTGCTCCCCCACCCTGGGTGGGAACCACGTCGAGGGGCGGGGAAAGCGTCTTGGGGAGGGGCAGCTCTCGTACAGAAAGTGGTGTGAGCTGAAGTTTTAGACCAAGCCTTATGGCTCCCTGATGAAGAAACTTGGGAGCAGAAGGATGAGTAAGTCCTAGAGCAGGATGGTGGTGGGGCTGAAACTAGCACCCAGGACTCCCTGTCCTCAGACCGTCCGGTGCCGGCTCCCCACCCACAGCCAGCGGGGAAAGGGGCGGGAGGAACGTCAGCACCCTCTGCTTTCAGAAAAGGATGGTGAGGGGTGATGACACTCCCAGCAAAAGTCAGAGCTTTGGGGCCTGACAACTTCCAATGAAGCCCCCCAAAGTGACCATGGAAACACCCTGGAATGTTTCCAAGGGCCCATACTCGCCCCACCGTGATTCTATTTGGAATGAATTATGACACTAATATTTACCAGTCACCAAGAGATCTGGGTTCTAATTCCAAGTTTAGCTTAGAAGCCCCACCTTCCTGCTCCCGGGAAGCCTTTTTTGACAACTCCCTCCCTGAGTCACTCACCCGGTGCTCCACACACCATCCCAAGTCCTTCGTCAGCCTCTGCCCATGGCTTCCCCACGCCCTGTTCCCTACCAGCACCAGAGCTGCTTCCAGCAGAGGGCTTTCTGGTGGCTGCAGTTTCTATTGTGCAGGGTTGTCATGGAAGGGTTATGCCACCCCTCCCGAACCAGTCATCTCCTTTAGTGAAGAATGGCATTGTCCTAACAACCAGAACAGGTGGCCATGGGATTTTGGACAAAAACAAGAGGAAAAAACCAGGGAGAAGAAAAGATACTAATTAAGAGAAGCTGGGAAACAAAATCTGGCCAAAAGTAGCGATGTCATTGGAGAGAAAGTTGTGTACGAACAGATCATGAAAGAACATCCTAGAAGAAGCTGTCTCTCCCTCATGAACACAGGTGACCCTGAGTGAGGTGCGTGAGCCTCGCTCTCCTTCAGCGGGAGCGGTTGCTTATGTTACACAATTCCATTGCTGGCCCAGGGTCGTAGTTTGTTCTAACAGCTTTCCCTATGAATTTTTATTTTCCTTTATTCCATTCGTTATAGCAAGCATATTTCAGTAAAGTGGGACCTACTTAGTCTGGGAATAATAAGTGTTAAAGAATATCTTATAGACTATCTCAAAGATGAACATCTGGAAATAAGATGGCATCTGCTATCAGGTTGTCTACCGTATCTGTATGTGAGTGATTGTGTGTTTGTGTGTGTGTGTGTCCTTTGAAATGGATTACTGACATATGTGAGTACTTTATTTGTACTGACACGTAAATATCTAGTTGAATATACAGATATAGACATAATTATTTTCAGTTGCCATCTGGTAATCATTTGGCATGTGTCATAACCTTGAATAGCTGTAACAATATATTTTATGTATACATACTGCTGTATGAAGTTATAGATATATGTATATAAGTTTTATATAACTTACTTTCAGTGTACATGTATTATACATGACATATGTGTACAGATATATGTGCACATGGCCTATTTGTAGCTAGAAATATACATGCTCACATCCATATAAAACTACTTATTTGCGGTCGGAATCCAGAATAAACTGATTTTTATTCTATCAAGCCAGATACATAAAAAGTATATATGAATAAGAGAAAATGGATTGCTTTTTAAGAAGAAAGTCTATAAATTATATGAGTTGTCTAAAATGAGATACATTTATATTTATTACTGGAAAATCAATAGCTTCAATGTTTATCTTCTAATTTATAGGGTCTGTGGGCGCTGTAAATCAGGGCAGTTTCTCAGAGCCCCTGAGCCACACCTGGCATCACAGGGGGTGTGATGAACTGTGTCAGACTGCTCCTTGGGCTGTAGGACAGAGCACACCACCAGAGTTGGCAGAACCCTGAGAAGAGCTATTTTGGGTCTTGCTAGAGGTGTAATCAGCACTTTGGGAATTCTATTCTAAACCAGGTGTTGACATGTTACTTGCCTCCCAACTCCTGTTTGGAGCCAGGTCCCCCAGAGCCTGGGGAGGGCAAGAGGCTGCTCAGATTGGATGCTCAGCCAGAGTCAGACACTCACCAAACACTGTCACTGCCTTTGTCCAGGGGGTTTCCCATGGGGTCGTAGTACACATCCACGCTGAGGTTTCTGTCTGTGTCATGAGCTGAGTTGAAGTTGGTGATCACGCGGGCGGGAATCCCCAAACACCGCAGCACTACAAGTCAAGAAGCGGTGTGAGACTGCGGGTGGCAGTGGGGCTCGCCTTGGAGCACCCCATTGCTGCCCACTGACCAGCAAAGGCACGTCACATGCAGGGTACCTGTGTTGAGGGTCCCAGCAAAGACCCAGCACTGGCCGAACCGGACTGGCCTGAAGCCAGATTTCTTCCACTCCTTGAGAATCTCCACGCTGCCGTTCCAGTTCCTGGGGTCCCGGCCCCCGGTGTAGCTGCCACTCCAGTTCCCAGCTATCACGCCGTTGTCATCATTGCTATTGACCTGGGCAGGAGAAACATCCCCAAACGAGTCAGTGGAGAGTGACATGCGGAGTTCAGGGGACAAGGCGAGAAAATGAGGGAGGAACCAGGGAGCCGTCCAGTGGGTTTCCTGTGTCTTCCTAGGAGATTTGAGGATGATAATTGTATGATATTCTCTTAGCAGTTTTATGAGTTTAAAAGTGCTTTGCTTAACGGGCCGTGTTTGATTGCCCCTGGCCCACGTGTCAGTTATGAGTGGCCGGCTCACATGGAAATGGGGGCTCCATGGCCCGTCAGTGGCAAAGCAGGGTCAGCCACCAGCCTGCAGAGGTTTCTTGTCTCCATGCACGGCTATCGCTGATACCTGGCTTGGGGGTCCAAGGTTTGAAACTCTCTTTTGTTTTACCAGTCTTCTAAAAGATCACTTTAGAAACTAACTTCTTCTTGGAAAGAATAAAGATGGAATATTGTTTTTCATTCATTCACTCATTCATTCATTCATTCATTCATTCATTCATTCATTCAATTTAAGGCATGATTCTTGTACAATTAACACAACCATGATGCAGTGTGAAAAGAATACTGGATTAGAAATTGAAAGACACGAGTTCCATTGTCTTTTAGAGACACGTATCGAAACATCTATGAATGAAATGATGTAACATCTGGAATTTATAAATTAGACTGTGGAGGAGGGGATCAGAGATGAAACCAGACTGGTCAGAAAGTGGGTAACTGATGAGTACGTAGGAGTTCATTTTACTTCTCTCTCTCTACTTTTGTGAAGGTCTGAACTTCGTATTATTAAATGTCCAAAATACAAAGCCAAAAGAGAGAAAAAGAAAGAGAGACCTGGGTAACAAGCCCAGCCTTGGTGCGGTCAGCTCGGTGATTGTGGGTAAGTTAACTCACCCATCTGGACCTTAGCTGTTCACCTTCCAACACAGGGAAAGTTAGACACAAACAAGCTCTCAGGTGTCATCCCGCAGCCAGTTTTCAGAGTTTATGACTCTCTTATCAGCAATTATCCAAGCCATGGGTCAGGACCAGGGTCTCTCAGCCTGCGGGTCCCGCTCCCTCTCTTTGTGGAGTCTGCAATTTGCAAGGCCTGATGGGAGCATAAGGCTGGGAGCAGAGGATCCTTGCCCAGGACGGGCTGGCCCAGGTTCCCAGGGCCCCTCCGTGCGGTGGGCGAGGTCCGCATCCCTTCCAGGAGGGCCTGGACAGTGAGTGATGCCAGGATCAAGCAGGATGGGCCTCCTCCAGGAAGGAAGGTTGGGCTGCCCGTTCCAATTTCCTGAGTCACAGAGCTCCAGCCACCAAAGTGATAATCAGCAGGGTCATCTCTGACTAGCGCTGAGCATTTCAAAGCCCTGCACAGGTCATAATTAGCTCACGCCAGCCCAACCAGGACACTGGAGAGAGCGGCAGGGAGGTGCAGTGAGGAAGCTGGCATTGATGTGAAGCGGTTTGTCCCCAGGGTGAGAGTGAGTCAGCGGCTGCCTGCCGGAGCTCTGGAGCCGGCTGGCCTCACCCACCTTCTCCTGCCAAAGCGACTCAGCTTCATGCCACCTGACTGCAGCTTTCCTTAACCTTGGCTTTGACTACTTGGTTTTTAAGGTTCAGCCCACATCCCACTTTCTCTCTGCATCTCTCCCCGGCCGCCCTGGTTCCCACCCATCTCCTCAGTGCCTCCACGTCCCCCGGGGGCCTCCTCACTCCTTTCCTGCAAGGTTCGGGACTGCACTCTCTCAGGAAGTCCTCTCTGATCACCCCCAGGTATTTGTCATCCAGCCAGAAGGCTGTTCAAATTTCTAACCACATAATTAGTTGGTAGCTTGGAGATGCTCCAGCTCCAAAGTAGAGAGACTCGGGCCATGGCTAGTCCATTAAAAAAGAAGTTAAAGACATCTGTGGGGTAATTATTTAGTTCCAGGGAATTAAAGAACAAGAACTCTCTGACTTTCAGCTCTTTAATTTGTAACTCTTGAGCAGGTTAATCCCATAGTTAGACCCCTTTTGATGGAGACGTTCTCTACACACTGAGTGCAGAGTGAAAGATTTTCCCAGGATCCGGAGTGTGCATGTATGTGTGCGTGTGTGCATATGTGTGTGCATGTGTAAGGTGGGGGGAGAAGAGCAGGTCTTTCAAATGGAGAGACTGGACGAGTGGAAAAGCCCTGGGTGGGCAATTCGAGGCCTCGTTCTGGTCTGACTCGCAAGCTGTGAGCACCTCCCTCAGCTCCTGGGGCTTCAGTGTGGATGAGGATCGGGCTGGCCTTCTGACTCTCTAGTCTGACAAGCACCCGCTGGGTGTTGAGGAGGGGGTGGATCAAAACAAAGGGGCGTCACACTCCAGGCTCACTCTGGAACGTCCTTCCTTTCCACATGGGCCCAGGGTGGAGCCAAGTCTCAGCTTGGCATCCTCCCAGCCCTGATGGATACTAAGAGGGCAAGTCCTCTTATCATCCGAGGAAGGCCTCCTAGTTCCGTGGAAAGGGCTTTGGGCTCCAGTTCAGTGTCTGCCTCTCCCTCACTGGGCACAAGGCCAGTCCTTTCCTCAGAGGAGCCTCATGCTCCACATGTGTGAGTGACATGGGGACGGGGACAGCCCAGCTTCATGTTGTGAGGCTACAACGAGGTCATGTGTGTAAAAGCGCATGTGCCCCACCCACAGTTGGGTTTGATACATGGTAACAACTCGTTATCACTCACCATGGCACTCAGCACCCGGCCGACATATTTGGGGTCACCTCTGCGGGCTGTGTCGGTAGCAGGGTCACGGCGGAAATTTAGACTTTTATCCAGGATCGCGAGGCAGATGTTCAGAATGTCTCCTTCAAACTGTTCGAAACAAAACCGTATATTACGATGGAAGAAATGGCAAGCAGTGTTGGCTCATTCAGGGGCTGGGGGCTCTGCTGGCGAGAACCACGATAAGTGCCTGGGTCCTTGCACTCTGTGGCCTCCAGAACGGAGAGCTGCTGAGGAACAGCCACCTCCCCCAGCCTTCCATCCCATAAATTTGTCCAGAGCTCTCGCAATACAGGAGGGTGAGTGAACCTGGGAACTCTGTGCTTTCAGGTGGGGAAGGGTGATGGTAAGGAAGGACTTTGGAAAGGCTAAATGCACACGGCCAGGAAGTTTCACCCCATTCTCACAGGAATGAAGGAACAGAAACTATATTTTTGTCCCATGTGTCTCTACTGGGCCTTATCCTCATTTGTAACACCAATGCCACGTCATTGCATCGATTTAGTTACTAGCATATGTCTGTTTTGCCCACTAGATTGTGACCCTCTCAAAGATAAGAAATCTGTCGTATTCATCTTCTGTATCCTTTCTGTGCAACCAGAGCCTGGCACATAGTAGATGCTCAGTAAATGTTTTCTGAATGAATGGATAGAAGGGCAGGCAAATGGATAGATTTGGGGACTTCCACCCATCTGTGGGGTCAGCTTCTGAGCTTCTTGCATAATAGAGATATTACCCCCCCTCCCCCGCGTCCCTGTGACCTTTTTACCTGTCCGAAGTTCCAGCCAACCATGCTAATTCGATTTGTGCTTCCCACAAATATGGAGCCAGAATCTTCCAGAACGTACTCCCCTCTCTCAGCTTGGTTATTCATAAAGACACTATCCGCTGTTTGACATAAAAGTCAGATATCAGGGATTGGAAGCTACAGAGAAGTCCTCCTCCCACTACTGAATACTGGCCTGAGAGTTGGAGCAAGTCATACCTGCAGCCTTCCCCCAATCTCCACCAAGGAAGGAAGCCTTGGGCTATTTTGCCTCCAACCAGTACTGTGGGAACTATGAGTTTGAAAGAGAAGCTGGGATAGCTGAGAGTCTGAAAATGAGACTTCAGGAGTCAGACACTTGCTCCTTTAGGAAAAGAGCCATCTCTATGTTATAGAATTGTACTGTGGTCATTGTCCCTTATAATTAAACTAGAGGCCCAGTGCACGAAATTTGTGCATGGGTAGGGTCCCTAGGCCTGGCCAGCAATCAGAGCTGATCAGATTCCCGGCCTACTCACCTCCCCACCTCTTTCTTCCCTTGCTCCCTCAGTGCCCTTCTACCACCACCACCACCACCATCACCGCTGGTTGCCAGGTTCTGCATGGCCCCCTGGTGGTCAGTGCACATCATAGGGAGTGATTCAACTCCTGGTCTCCTGGTCGAACTCTTGAAGGGACACTTTGCATATTAGCCTTTTATATATCTAGAACATGCTATGCAATTTGTACAAGATCATGAGATTTCTGCAATACCCACAAAGGAAATAGCAGCATGTCCATTTAATGGTGAATAATTTGAGGCTCAGACTCACACAGCTGGATGAGTGGGGGAGCTGGGACTCAGACCTATGGCTTCTGACTTACAGTTTCTATCTTTTTCCATATCGCACAAACGTTTTCTAATCAAACCTGAGTCCATGAAAACCACCCGGCTCATCTCCTTTCCATGGGCACTGCTTATCTGATGGCTGGGAGTGTGGGGTGGTTAGCTGCCTACCTTGCGACCAGGGGTTAAAGAGCAGTATTATCATCCCAAGCTTCTGAGTGATGCCGTTGCCATTCTGAAGGCTCAGCGTGTACCATCCGATGGGCGCATTGGCAGGACTGGAGATGGAGATGTTCAGAGTGTTCTCCCTCTGGGACAGGAGCTGTGCATACCAGCTGCCACTGCTCGTCCCGTTGGAGAGTGAAAACACAGCCTTCGTTTTGGCTGACTCTGACGGGGAGGGTCCTGTAAAAGAAGAAGGGCTCCCTGAAAACCAAGGAGTACTGGCCGGACTGTGGGGCGAGATCAGGTTCCAACACAACCACGGGGGCCCTTCCAGGGGCTCATCCAGGGAAGCACCACATTATGGCGCTGGAAGCAACTAGAGAGACAGACCACGTGGGCCAAATTCCTCTTGATTGGAAGACCAGGCAGAAACTTTCCCACGGTCACACAGAGTCAATGGCAGAGCCGGGCCCAGAGCCCAGAGCCCAGAGCCCAGTGACCCCAGTGTCACCGTCATCACCTCTTGGATGCACAGTCCCACGGGCTACTCAGGGGCAGGTGGGGGAGGGGAGGAGCAGGGAGCAGGTACCTGTGGAGGCTATGAACCCCAGACGTTCTCCAGATATAAGAGCCCGGTTGAGGGTCAAGGAGAAAGTGAACGGTTGACCTCGCCGTAAGACGAGCTCCTGGCTGTTGTAAGAGTCTGTGTGGTGCTCTTGCCGATTGGCACTCGCCCGCCAGTTGATATTCTGGGGTTTTAAATCTGTGAGACAGAAAAGAGAAGACCTTAGGCCCTGAGAGGTAAGGAATAGTGGCATTGGGAAAAGGTTTAAATTGCCAGAGGAATAGCTTTTAGGCAGGACTAGTCAGGCAGGAGCTAAACTTCTAGGAAAAAATCACATTAAAATACAAAAATCGTGACTGAACACACTGAGAACGTCACAAGCGGTTGCTTCCCCTCTGCCCTTCACGCAGCTGAACCCGAACCTCTGCATACACTATTCGGACCCTGCTGCCTAGCCAGCTGTCGCTCAGGCCTCAAGGAGCTGGCCAGGTGCTCCGTGTAGCTTTGCCCAGCCAGCCAGGAGAGCTGTGGAACCAGAGTGCCCATATTCTGCCCACATTCAGCACCATTCCTGGGTGGATGGGGGCTCACGTAGAATGGAGAGGAGGCTATTTTTCTCACCGCCACCACCCTGCTTTGGCTTGTTTGCTTTTCCCTCTGCATCTGCTAGACACTCAGTGCCTTTTTTCACTCCAACATCCAGCAAATGTTTACTTGCCTTGTGTATTTTATGCTTTATACACTCAACACCTTGGTGTTGGCCTGGGCCTCTGATGCTGCGGGGAACAGCATGACTCTGGGCAGGATTTGTAGGCCTAGAGGTTGGACTTTCAGACACACACTAGCAAGAGCAGTGAAAGGAGCAGGTCAAAGGCCATGAGATCTCTGGATGACACCCGAATGCAAAAACCTGGACATCTACGGCCCCTCCCCGCTTCCTCTCACTTGATTGTGGAGGTGGGTCTAGGCTGAGAAGAGTTTATGAGCAGTACCATGAGGTCTGAGGAGGTTAGCTTACATAAACCTCTAAAGAGTTTTATTCCTCTGAGTTGTGTTTGAGACGTTTCATCATCCGTGCCTTTGCAAACCAAGCTGATTTGTCTGTCTGTATGATGAGACCACAGCTATGCGAGCGTGGAGGCACATCCCAGCAGCAGGCACCGCTTCTCTTTACACATGTCTGTCTCTCGTCACCAGAATGTGTTTTCTTGATTTTTGTATTCGAAAGCCCCGAGCATTATTGACTACATTAGGACAACTTGGTAAACAAAGGAATGAAGGCGTTAAATGAACAAACAAACAAAAACTAATGTCATACAATGACCATCATGACTACGCCTCAAGATTTAGTTCATAAGGAAAGGTGACTGTGGGACCTTTATTCAATAAATACAGAGAGGATACCTATTTCTCACAGGACACTGGCTAGGCACAATGCTGGCAGTGTGAAAAGTATGAAAGTAGCCGAAGCCGGTTTGGCTCAGTGGTAGAGTGTCGGTCTGCAGATGAAAGATCTCAGGTTCGATTCCAGTCAAGGGCATGTACCTTGGTTGTGGGTACATCTCCAGTAGGGGGTATGCAAGAGGCAGCTGATTGATGGTTCTCTCTCATCAATGTTTTTAGCTCTCTATCCCTCTCTCTTCCTCTCTGTAAAAAACTAATAATATATATATTTTAAAGTATGAAAGTAAGTTTTAACCCTCTAAGAGCCTTATCAGTGAGTAAGACACTGAGTGATGGAAGGACCGGAGGAATGAAGGAGGGGAGAAGATGAACATTCCTGGACATAAATAGCGAATGGAGACAGCCCAGATCTTAGGAACTCTCCGGCAACCCCTATATGTGTAGATACTAGCTCTGTCTAGGGCAGTGGTTGGCAAACCACGTGTGGCTCTTCCACAAAATACCACGTGCGGGCATGCACATACAGTGTGATTGAAACTTTGTGGCCCATGCACAGAAGTCAGTTTTCGGCCTGGGCAAGTCTATTTTGAAGAAGTGGTTCTAATGCAGAGCCACACTCAAGGGGCCAAAGAGCCACATGCAGCTCACAAGCCGCGTTTTGCCACTCTGATGACTGAGTTTGCCGACCACTGCTAGACTAAATGTTATGGTGTAGTTGGAAGCTGTGAGGATTAGGCAATTGTGGCATATTGTGTGCAAAGAGGTAAAGGGTAGTATAGGACAGTGGTCGGCAAACTCATTAGTCAACAGAGTGGCAAACCATGGCTTGCTAACCACATGTGGCTCAAGAGCCGCAGTTTGCCGATTACTGCCCTGGGGCAATGGTCCCGCCTTTCAAACACCTGCCTCCTCCCCAGCCTTGCTCACGGCCTGCTGTGCATCCCTGCAAGTTGACATTTGGTAGAACTGTATTCCTTGTCTTATTTGAGAGAAAAGAAGAGCCCAAGGACTGTGTGTGTTCAGATAACATGAACCTTCTAGAACAGGTCAAACTCAAAGGCTAAGACGGGCCAAATACGTGAGGCATGTGGCCCGTGGGCCGCGAGTTTGACCTGCTTGCCCTAGAGATTCTTCACCCCCCTCTTAAACACAAAAGGATGCGTGTCTTCTTCCAGGTGAAGCTCACTATTCCAGACAGGAGCTCTGAGAGCAGAAAGAATGTCCCAGACAGCCTCTGCCAAACACAGGGGCAAGGAAAGATGGGTGCAGGGGTTCCACATCTATAGAGGCATCTGCCTCCCCTTCCACAGGTCCACATCCTCCTTTGCTCTGTCCAGGATTATGCACCATATGCTATAGCTGAGCCAATGGCAGAGGCTTCGCCCTTTCCTCCCTGAGCCCAGTGGCTCTTGGGAACGTTCACATACAAGTATTTGTTTGAATACCTGTCCTCAATTCTTTTAAAGAAACTTTTTTTTCAAAATCATTGGCAAATACCCTGAACCTGCTCACCTCCTTCTTTGTCCATCTCGCTACCTGGGCTGTGTGTGTTTGTGTGTGTGGAGGGGGATATGGCATGCCCTGGGGACAGCAGTGTGGGGAGGGCACGAGCCTGGGCCCTGGGGCATGTGTAGCTGCCTTTTCTGCCCAGAACTACCTATACCCACACCTGTTACATAAGGAAAAAGGAAACTTCTATCTAGTTTATTCTATTCTAGAATTTTGGAGATTCACTGTCATTCACATACACCTGATGATGTAACCCCTCAACTTGTTCTGGGGTCCGCCTTTGGCGGGGCTAACACGAGAAGCACAGAGCAGAGTCCAGACTGTGAAAGGGGGTTGCTGGTTGGCTGTCTCAATCCTTATCGGTTGACTCTATGATTGAATCACCGACAGCAGACAGGTAAGTGGGGCTGGCTGGGGTGAGTGACTGGGGTTTTTGCCTGCTCTTCCTGGGGGGACCACAGCAGAGAGCCACTAGCAGATGGCCCAACATGACATAACTGATGCTCCAGTGCCTGCATCTCCCCCACCTGCCCAGCCCTTATTCCCTGTGTTTCTTCTCTAGGCAAAGACGTATTTGTCTCTTACAGATTTCCAGAGTTGATTGTGAGATTCTCCCTCCTCCCAACTGGTGGGCGGAGTTATGACATTACTGGCATCTGTCACAGAGACATCTCCAAGACATTGAACCACCAATCAGCGTGTGCCAAAGTGTCCTGGAGCCCCCCCTCTTTCTATTCCGCCCAGGGTCCAACCCTCTCCTGTTCCTCCCCTTAAAAAGACCCCCAGACCAGCCCACGTGCTGCTGATCCTCCATGTCCATCTGGAGGCAGCCCGGCTGAGTCCCTCTCCCCTCCCCACTTCTTCAATTCTGATTTCTCTACCTCCGTGATGAGTCCCGCTCATTACTGGGGAATAAACTTTACTTTAAAATGTCTTGGTGGTCAGTTTCCTGCGCCTCAAACCTTACATTGATTATGGCTGCTAAATACACTAAAAGTCCAGCCGAGTGTCTTTAGCATTTTTAGAGACCACGTTAAGAAATACATTTTGCATGGTGTTTCTATATGGGGGCCTCTACCTGACATGGAGTTTCACAGAACAGCACTAACTCCCCCTTCATTTTAATTTCTGGTCATAAGCCACTAAACTGATTTTACAACCTACTAATGGGTGACACATGGCAGCTTGAAAAACAGTGATGTAATCCCATATTCCCATATTCCAGGTCATAAAACTGAGACCCTGAAGGGGGAAAGCATCTGCTGAGGTTACATGGGAGTTGAGAAGCAGAACTTGGCTCAGAATCTGGGCCTTAGAGCCTGGTAACTGAGGGTCCATGAGTCATTCTCAACCCCCCTTCCGCCCCCCTCCCCCCCCCACTGAGCCCCGAAATCTCCAACTCCTGGCAGGCCCCACCAACAGCCCCAAGAACCAGGTGCTTTCCTCTCTGCTCCCACTCCCTTCTCTCTTTGGCCTGTGCCGTCCCCTTTACCTTTTCCCCACATTCAGACATTTGCAATCTCTATGCAGCACAAGTGGTAGGATTGCTTGGTACCCAGTTGGAGAGAAGCTGGGGGGTTCAGGTAGTGGCTGAGTGAGGGGCCGGTAAGGCTCTGTGGGATGGAGTGAAGGAGCCCTGGACCGGCTGTCTAAAAGGCTGAGGCCTTAGGCAAGGTCTCAGTGTTTCCGGAACATACTCTCTCCATCTGTAGAAGGGGAGAGTGAAGCCTGCAGGTGGGGTTACTAATCAGACCCAACATGTACTCATCACTAGCACCTGGGCCTCCAGAAGCTGGGGGTGCGAGCCCTCTGGGCTCCCACACATAACAACAAAAGCAACACAGCAGGGTTTGAGGTTGTCTATGGGGCTGCCATTGAAGGCATCTGCTGTGCCAGGCACTGTGCTGAGCGTTTTACTTGCATTATGTCCCAAACCCCTGTGAGATATTACTCCCATTTCACAGATAAGGGATTTGAAAGTCCAGTCAGGTGACATCACGTGCCAAATATGGCACACGCAGGCAGAGCCCGGACCCAAGCCCAGACTGGAAGCCAGTTTTGTCTGCCCACGTATGACTCCAAGCTGCCACCCTGCAGCCAGCCGAGGTTCCTGGGGTGACAATCACATGGGATGGCTCAAGGAAGCTGCCGGAAAGGGTCACCCATAGTCCACTGCCTGTCTCAACATAACCTGGTCAGGGGGAGAGCAGAGGGAGGGAGGACTCCTGGACAAGTTCACTTAAGACAGTGTGACTGAGACCCCTGGTTCCCGCTCTCGCTGCACCCGAGCAGCACCTGGGGAGTGTGGAAGGTCCTGAGCTCCACCTGGGACTAATTCAATGAGGATTTCTGGCTTAGGGACAGCACTGGGGTTTTTATTTTAAACTCTCCTGGCGTTTCTAATAAGCACCCAGTACAGAGAATGACTACCTTAGGTTGATATGTCATTTTACACTTTTCAAAGCATTTTCACATTAATTATCTCTCCTGAGCCACATAGCAATCTGTGAGGAGGCGGAGTGTGGCGGGGGGAGGGGGGAGTGGGGTGGGGATGGGGGAATCACTCCCTTCATTTCACACAGGAGGAACCTACATCGCTCAGCCCCTCGCCCAGACCTTGGGGCCTCGTTCCCTCCATCCTGAGCCATGGGGGAAAATACTTTCCTTCCTTCAGCTCACACCCCAGGCGGCATGTGGGCCCGGGGAGGAGAGTGACGCCCCGCCCTGGAGTGCCCAGCGGGTGGAGGCAGAATGAGGTGAACCAAGACAGCTCACTGGGGACCTGGAATATGACACGGCTGGCAAGGGGGCAGGGGAGCGCTTCGTGGGAGGGGTCCCCCTGAGAATCGCCTTCGGTTAGGAAATGGACTTCATCGCATTGGGTTTTTCTTCAGGCTTACGAAAAGTTCCCCCAAATTAATGAGTTGTGTGGCCTGAGCACCTATGGGGTGGACTCCACAATAACCCCATTTTAGAGAGAGGAAATGGAGACACTCGGTTTAGTAACCTGTCCAAGATCACTCAGTTAGTGGGGGGCCGAGCTCAAAGTCAAGCCAGGGCTCATCCCTGGACGTGAACTTGTAACCTTGGGCTCACACCGTCTGTACTAATCCCAGGTAACAGGGGGAAGCATGGGGAGCCCTTATTCCAGTGGATGCAGCTGCTGGCAGGTCTGTCTTCGCTGACCTGGGAGCAGCTGCTGCCCCAGAGGAAAGAAAGCAGGTGGGACTGGGGTGGGGCGGGGCGGGAGGTGGGGGGCAGCGTGCCCCACACAAACGCTGAGCGCCTGAATCCCCGAGCTGAGCCTCTGAGCCTCCAAGCCCAGGGCACTCTCTGCTTTCAGAGCTGCCACAGATCTCCCTGGGGTCCAGGCCCCTGAACCAAGAAGCTGTAGCCCAGTGCAGGGAGACCCGGGCCCCTCCTAGATTCCAGGCAGGAGGAGGCAGGACCCCGAGAGAAAGAGCCGCTGTGTCCCAGCTTCCAGGGAAGATGTTTTGTGCAGACCCAAGGCCTAGAACCGGGCAGGTCCTCACAGATTGAGGAACAAGGCCCAAGAAGGTAAGTCTCCACAGCCCAGCCAGCACTCTGCCCAGAAAAGAGCAGGCGGAGAGCCGCCTGCCCCAGCGGCCAGTGTTAGCCCGGCAGGGAGCTCCTGGCCTCCCGCAGGCAGTGTCTGAGGTTCATGTTTGAACCCTGAGAACTCTGCCTTCGGCCTGGGGCCTCTGATTGGATGTGGGGATGCGGAGTGAGGCCTCCGCTCGACAGTGAGCCCAGAGTCTGTGCATTCCCGTCCACCCTGGGGCGCGGACTCCGTGGGCAGCAGACAGAGGGGGGCCACATTGCAGGGCTGGGGGAAGGGTGCCGGCTGCCCTCACAGTTGAAAACAAATCCACATGTACCTTCGCACACAGGGATTCCCAGCTGAGGAGCTGACCCTGAACAACTCAGGTGTGAACTGTGCAGGTCTATTAAGAAAATGTGCGTGTCAGTCAGTGGACCCCGTTCAGACGCGTGGAGCTCAAGGTCAACTGAGCTCCACGCAGAACACTGCCGGGCCCTCCTGCACCCCCAGCGCCCCACCCATAGCCCAGCTGCCCTCTCCACCAGGAGGCACAGTCACTGAACCCACACGGATTCCAGCAAGAAGCTTAAATTGGGCACTGGACACAGTTCTCTCCAACCTACACACATTGACCCCTTGGTCCCCTGGGTCACACCTGCTGACCCACCCACCTCCCATCCCCACTGCCCGGAACACTGCTCACGCCACAAACTACTCCTGACCAAGCATGCCAGGCAGAGACACAGCTCCTTCAGCTCTGCCTTCCACTGTGCCCACTGGGGCCCCTTTCCGGGGTGCCCAATGAATACATTCATTCATTCATTCATTCATTCCAGAGACACTGGCTGAGCACCTGCTGGCTGAGTGGCTAGGAGCTGAGCTAGGAATTGCATGCTGGCAAATGGAAGGGAATAACGATTCCCTGGTCTCTTCCCTCCTTCTTAACAACGTGCTTCCTTCCAACCAGCCATTGTATATGTGGGTTGTGACCTCAGGAGGCCTCTGGCTGGTTTAGATGTTGAGCTCCAAGAGGTTAAGACCTCCTGACTCACCGGCGCTGGCACCAGAGCAGGGCTCACAGCAGGCAGCGCAGCGGCAGGCATGAGGCTGACCCACCTATCCATGGCCCACGCCCGGCACAGGTGCCAGGGGGTGAGCCCGCTGGGCCCATCGCTCTCTGTCCCTGGTTTCTTCTCAAGGCGAGAGTCCAGGACTGGAGGGCAGAGAGCCCTCTATTTCAAACCCCTTCATCTTACAACCGGAGCCCGAGGCTCGGCGCTGGCAGGGAGGGCGGAGACTGCCGGTAGAGCTCAAATGTGCAGCATTGCTTTGCTGTGATCTGGGTGAATTCAGCTCGGCTATCAGGACCGAGTCTGGGCTCTGCTACCCACTTTCTGAGTGATGTGGTAAGTCTCTAGATCAGTGGTTGGCAAACTCATTAGTCCACAGAGCCAAAAATATCAGCAGTTACAGTGATTGAAATTTCTTTTGAGAGCCAAATTTTTAAACTTAAACTTCTTCTAACACCACTTCTTCAAAATAGCCTCGCCCAGGCCATGGTATTTTGTGGAAGAGCCACACTCAAGGGACCAAAGAGCCACATGTGGCTCTCGAGCCTCAGTTTGCCAACCACGGCTCTAGACCTTTCTGGAATGCCTCCTGCCCCCTGCGGGGAGGGAGATGGCCGAGGTGACAGCTGACATCTTCTGCTAAAGTCAACAGAATCCCAAGCTCCTCTCCTTAGCAACCCAGCGTGTTGCCACATGTTCCCTGGAGGAAATGTGTGTGTGTGTGTGTGTGTGTGTGTGTGTGTGTTTTGCGGGGGGAAGTGAGTGGCGGGGGGGGGGGGGCAGAAGAGAGGAGGTATCCATTTTGCTGCCCTGTCCTGATCTTGGTGCTCCCTGAAGGAAACTGCATTCACTTTTGTACTATGCTCAGTGATTTCTTTGGCAAACCTTTCTGAGGCCCTAACCACCATTCACGATGTTTTACAGGTTTGGTTCATGCCTTTTTTGGGGGGGAAGGGGCTGGCGATGCACTAGTCCCAGGATGGCAATAGTTGGCATGCCGCCCAGCAGGGGGCTGTCTGCTAGGAGCCGGCATCTTCTGTGGTGACCGCAGAGCGAAAGGACCTGCGCTCCCGGCTGTTCTTACCCACCCACCTCCCCTGGCGCTGCTTGCAGGGAACCTGGCACATCTGCCTCTTTTCCTACCGGGAGGTTTCAGCTCATCAAGTCACGCTCAAAGAGGCTGCTTCCGAACCTGTGGTTTACTTAGAAGCATTCCCGCGCTGCTGCTGGCTTCTTTTAAACCAATTTACAGGCTGTCACGCTCTCACTTCCTTGTAGCTCTGAGATGTGCTTTTCATTACCCACGTTACTGACAGCTGGTAAAGGTGCACTGAGAAACCGGGGACGCAGGTACCAGCTGGCTTCACACAGCAAAGCGTATCCATCCGTCTAAAGGATGCTGACTATCTGTCCATTCCTCAGGACTACATCCCGCATATGTCCTACCCCGGGAACCACGCTAGAAGGACTAGGCAGCCACGAGGAAGACCAGAACCCTCACGTACGAAGATCCAGCCTCCGGAGCCCCCAGGACAGCTGCCCTGGGCCGGATGCTGGCCTCTTTGCTGGCCCAGGGGGAGCCGGGCTTCCCGCTAGGACCAGGTAGAGAGGATGCTGCGCACTCACCAGCCATGCTTCGCCTTCTGTGCCTCTTCCTCTTCTTGGCGTTTCACTGGCGATGGCAGGGAGAAGTGGGGAGATGAGCTGCCTGCCCGGGATCGCCTTACCATTTATAGAAGCCTCTCCTACACACCCCAATTAGAATTGTAATGAGGTGGGCGAGGCACCAGGTCATTCCTGTAGTGCCTGTAAGCGTTTCTCTTACGACATCCCCAACATCCTCGTCACCCAATGGCAGGGCAGCCTGCTTACGCAAGACCGACCTGGGGAGCGGAGGGGAGATAAGAAAGAAAAGTTCACTTTTCTGGATGGTAGAGTCTGGGAAATTTTGTCCAGAGCTGGAGCTGAGAAGTCCCCTAAGAAATGTCTCTGCAAAACCCAGAAGCAGAACTTTGCACAGTCTTTTCTCACTCGCCACACGCAGGGGTGGTTTCCATCTGTACAAGGACATGAGACACTCGGCACAGCTCGCCCGCTCAGCTCAGGGGAGCCAGGAGGAGCATTGGGTTGGAGTTAGAAACACTCAGTTGCAATGCTGGGGGGCCAGCACTGAAGCTCGAAGCTTTGGGAGCCTAGTCTGTGATGGGGGTAATTGCACCCACTCTTCTTAATCACTAATTTGAGGGAAGAAGCAAATGAGGTGATACAAGTCAAAAGGGCATAGATATTGTCCTGGCTGCGTAGCTCAGGAGGCTGGAGCATTGTCCCGTACACCAGAAAGTGGCAAGTTCGATTCCCAGTCAGAGCACATACCTAGGTTGTGAGTTCCATCCCTGGTCAGGGTGCACAGGGGAGGCAAGCAATCGATGTTTCTGCCTCACATCAATGTTTCTCTCTGTCTCTGTCTCTCATTCTCTCACTGACCCCTCTCTAAAATCAATTTAAAAAAATACACACAACAGCATATCCTCAGGTGAGGATTAAAAAGAAAAGTGCATAGATGTGACCCATAATGAGTTAAATCCAGACACCATCTGGATTCGAATGTCAGTTTGATTCCAGACTGGGGGAAACATGTGTTGTTGTTGTTGTTTTTTTAAACTTTATTAGTATTTTAAAAAATATATTTTATTGATTTCAGAGAGGAAGAAAGAGGGAGAGATACATAATTGATGAGAATCAATGATCAGTTGCGTCCTACACACCCCCTACTGGGGATTAAGCCTGCAACCCGGGCACATGCCCTTGACTGGAATCGAAGCTGGGACCCTCCAGTCCATAGGCTGATGCTCTATCAACTGAGCCAAACCAGGTAGAGCACAAACGTTATTTTTGTTGTTGATACTATTATAGATGTCCCCACATTCCCTTCCTTTGCCCACATCCACCTAGCCTTGCCCCACTTCCCTGTGGCCATCACCACACTGTAGTCTGTGTTCGTGGGTTATGTGTATATGGTTTGGGGCTAATCTCGTCACCTTCTTACATCCATTCCCTGTCCCCCTCCCCTCTGACAGCTGTCAGTCTGTTGCATGTATCCATGCTTCCGTTTCTGTTTTGTTTATCAGTTTATTTTGTTCATAAATAAGGTCATGCGGTATTATCTTTCTCCGTCTGGCTTACTTCACATAGCATAATACTCTCCAGGTCCATCCGTTCTGTCGCTAAAGGTAAGATTTCCTTTTTCACGGCTGGGAAGTATTCCATTGTGTTAATGCACCACGGCTCGTCCATCCACTCATCTACTGAAGGGCACATGGGCTGTTTCCAGATCTTTGTATGAGGCAGCGGGGACAGCCACTGATCTGGTAGAGGTGACATGGTTTCACCACACACTCTCTGTAAGGCTGGAAGGTAAGTCACCCATCCTCTGTGGGCCCAGGCTCAGCACTGGTGAAAAAGAAAAGGGGGAAGAGGGGTCTGTTTTCTTTATATTTTTTGTTTTCTTGTGTGTTCTTTTAAGGGAATATATTTCTCAAAAGATCCTATTGTGAATATTTACCGGTACCATCACTTTCGGTGATAGATCAGGGAGTTTAAAAAACTGATAATGCTTTGAGGATTCGTGATAGAGCAGAAATTTCTCACGCCTCCCCCTCGAGTTGGAGTGAAAATGAAGACCCAGCTTCATGATGATCCGATAAGATCTTTAGAAAAATGTGGGAGTGCTGGGTCTTGAGAAAGGTGAGGCTGAGCAGACAGATGGTTTGGGGAAAGAGGAATCTCTGTCTCCTCTCTCTGCACAGCATGGTAGACACCGCAGCCCCTCCATCCCCATCTGCATCTGTTTATGATCCATTTCTGTCTGCCCCATCCCCAGACTGAGCTCTTTGGCCTTAAAAAAAAAAAAAAATATATATATATATATATATATATATATATATATATATACTATATTATTGATTTTTCAGAGAGGAAGGGAGAGGGATAGAGAGTTAGAAACATTGATGAGAGAGAAACATTGATCAGCTATGGGGGATGTGCCCACAACCAAGGTGCATAGGACCTCTCAGTCCGCAGGCTGATGCCCTATCCACTGAGTCAAACTGGTTTGGGCCTAGACTGAGCTCTTTGAAGGCACAGGCTGAATATTACTCACATCTCAGAACCTAGCATGGGCTGGCCACACGGCAGGAGCACACATATTTTTGAACATATGAATTAATCACTCATAAAGATGGAAATAACAATTATACCATCAATGTAGTGCTCATGGTAGGCAGGCACTGGCTAAACACTTCACATATATGACCTTTTTCTATCTCCATATCAACCCTATGGCACAGGTACTATGATTACTGGTATTTTTTCAGGGGGAAGAAATGGGTTAACATGCATCTGTGCAACCAGGAGACTCCCAGGGGGAAGAAATGGGTTAACATGCATCTGTGCAACCAGGAGACTCCCATCCACATGTGAGCGACTCCAGAGCCTGTTGACTTAACCTGGAGGTCAGCTGCCTAAGAGAGGCGGGGCCACAGCCAATCCAGGGTTCCGGGTGGCTTTCCCAGAGAGGTGACTCTGCACCCTGCCGGGCAGGATGACCACTATTGGCTCTGGCCTGTGACCCGGAAGAGAGAGAGGATAGAGAAGGATGTGGCAAGGAGTGCTGGGCCCTGAAAGGAAGGCTCAAGTGTGGGTCTTGGTGCCTGCCATGTGGACAAGGCCTTCCTGTGGCCGGTCAGTCCTGCCAGAAACCCCAAGACCTGTGGGGATCAAATGTGATGAATGGATATGAAAGTGCCCTTCACACTCTCAAGTGTGTTATAGAGAAACAGAGGGGTTTGCTCATTATTATTACTGTTGTCATTTTTGGCATGGGAGCCAAGAGGAATTGGGCCCTGGACATTCCTTCAATGCTTTGGCAAAGACGCCTGCGGAAGTGACAGGAAGGCAGTGCTGTCCTCTGAGAAGACCCCTGAGGTTATACAGATAGAGGTTTCCAATCCGGGTTCTGCCAGTCACCTCCACTCTCAGGGTCTCTGCTTCCTCATCTGCAAAGCGGAGGAGGAATCATTGTGGGAATAAAGGAGATGCTGACTATAAAATGCTTAGCACAGTGGCTGGCACTGCCCAGGGTCACATTGGCATTGACATTATTAGTATTCCTATCACCCCTCAGGAATTCCACAGTGCTGAGCATTGCAGATTTTGCAATGGAACCCACAGGTGTGGGCAGTGGTGCCTGACCATGGACCATGTGGTCTTCCATGGGAAGGTGTGTAGCTGTTCAGCCTTGACCCCCGGGGGTGTGGTAGAAAGATGCCCACCCTGGATTCAGGAGACCCCAGCTAAAAGCTGGGCTCTGTGACGTGCCCAATCTGAGTTTGGCAGAATCCTTTGACATCTCAAAGCCTCAGTTTCCTCATCAGTCAGCCCACACACCTCCCAGGGCTGGAGTCAGGCTCAAAACCATGAAATCGCGGCTGTGGCACTCCTCTGTAGAGGGAGGGGTGTTGCGCCAACCTCAGGGGCCCAGCTTCCGGCCTCTCCCCCCACCGCCCCACCCGCTCCCCTGGAGCCTGCACACTGCAGCGGGGCCCTGCCCTGGCCGCCCTCCCAGCACCTCGGCTCTACGTTAGCAGCTGGGGGATTGCGCCAGGGCCACAGTTGCGCACGGCCACAGCCCGAGCGGCAGCAGGGCCATAATTTGCACAGGATGTCACAATTTCAGCTAAATGATTTTCAGTTCATAGGTGGAGCCACCCAGCTCCGAGCAGAGTGAAATTCCTGCTTGGCCACACGCCTGCACCTCGAACCCCAGATAAGATGGAGCATGCAAGGATGGGCTTTTTGAAAAAGAAGACACTAATTGATCTTTGCCTTTTTATCTTCTTCTAATTAAAGGATTTAGGGTTGCTGGAGATTTTGCAACACCCGGAGAAGCACACACACAGAAGCTCACGAGAAGTTCCTGACCCCGCCTTTCTCAGAACACAGGAATCCCCTTGCCAGACACATTTCTCTTGAAAATTCCAGCGACAGGGAATGTACACATGTCAAAGCAGCCTCTACTTGCCCTGGACAGTTTAGGCTGCAACATTCATTTCTGGGGTGATTCTCTTTAAGGTACATCTCCCCCAATTTCATAGGAGCTCTGTGAGGGCAGGAACTTTGTCTTGGTCCATCCCAGTGCCTCCCAGTGCCCAGAACAACGCTAAAGAGCAGAGAAAGGACCAGAGGTTTTTTCTCATGTGAACTGAGAATTTGTCTCCTAGAGCTTCTACCCACAGGCCCTCACTGCTTCCCACCAATCAATACTTCATGGAGCCCCCATGGAATGAAGCTGTTTCTTCCTTCCCTAACAATGCTCATGTCCTTCCCCACGTCTGGCAAACTCCCCAAGAAGTCGTCTCTTTTCTAGGCTAAGCATTGGTTTCTTCAACCTTTCCTGATGAGTCATGACTTGGAGGCCTCTCCTCCTCTGACACCCTCAATGGCTCCCCAAGGCCAATTACAGCTTCAGTTCCTTAGTCTGGCGTTTAAGGTCCTCCAGTGTATGTTCAACCTTAGCTCCATTGTTTTCTACCACTCTTCACCAACTCTGCAGCAAAGCATGTCTAATCGTTTCCC